GAACTGTAACACAAGAACTGTAACACAAGAACTGTAACACAAGAACTGTAACACAAGAACTGTAACACAAGAACTGTGAGAAAAAAAAAATTAGAATATATTATATAGAATATATTAGAATATTGAACAAGGAGAAAGAGGTTAGAAAGGGTTAACAAAGACGAGTAAAACTTCTTTGTTGGTTTGCCACGTTTTTTTTTTTATATTATGTAATCGTCTAAATTCCATTTGTTTGTTGCTCGTTTTCGGTATTCTTAATTGCCACATGGCAAATAAAGTTACTCAGATGTAATTCACACTGGTCATTGTATTTTCCCTCCGCAAATTTCGCAAAAATTTCGCTGCATTAACAAAATTAACAAAATCTTGGTGATACGCTGTTAAACGTGCGCATTATTTTTTTTAGTTTAATATCTGTAAAGATAACAAGGAGTATATTCGTATACCATAATAATGGCTATTAATTCCTTTTATGTCAAACAGGTTCGGGAACAAGGCAATTTAAAATTGAACAAATCAAATATTGATTTTCTGCTTATTACAAAGAGTTTTTTCGTACTCTCTGGGCGTGGATCATTTTCCGGATATTAATTATTTATTTATTTATATTTTTCGTTGTATATTTATTCATATATTTCTTATTCATATATTTCTTATTCATGTATTTCTTATTCATGTATTTCTTATTTATATTCTTATTTATTTTATATTTTTTTTTTTCTTTATTATTTTTTTAATAATAATTATTTTTGTTATTTCTATATCTGTATTTTATTTTATAAATCTGTACTATTTAAAACTATTTTATATACTATTTTATATACTATTTTAAACTATTTTAAACTATTTTAAACCATTATATATATATTTATACATTTTAATAACATCTATTATATTGATGCCTATATATACAGCCTTTTTCCCCGCTTTCCATTTTTTCCTCGTCCAAATTGCGCATTTCAAAGTCCTTTGTTCTTTGAGGAATTTTCAATAAAGAAATAAAAAGCAGTTCTTGCTCTGCGAGCATTACCATAATATAATTCTCTTTTTTTTTTCAATTTTCAATTTTTCTTTTTTTAAAAAAATAATAATTCAAAACCATGACGTCGACATCAACTCCTCCAACGTCCCCAAAACCTGTTGCTCCATTGGTTGAACCTCCAACATTACCAAAATTGAGGCACATTGCCCCCGCTCCTCGTGATAAACCCGAATATGATATTTATCATATTCCAAAAGGTTATGAAGTAGTTTTGGTTCCAAAATCTTCTAATGGTACCACTCCTGATTTCTCTACCGGTCCTTCTCCTACTTCTCCTACTTCCACTGTTATACCTCTTTCCCCTGCTGCTTCTGTGTCTAGTATTCATGGTTCACCTTCAAAATTTACTTCTCCTTCTACTACATCTGTTAAATCACCTCCAAATAGTTCGTGGCGCAAACGTAAAAATAATG